GTCATTATGTCCAGGAAGTGTTGTGCTTGGATGTGCAACAGAAGAAAAGCAATACATAGCAACGGTCTGGTTACCCATCGAGGGGAGTAGAAATGTCAAGGGAAATCGGTCTTTGCACCAGCTTGGGGTCCCTACCCACCTGGTCGGAGCACCAGTACCACACGCCGATGAAAGTTATGCCGATGAGGGCACCCGGCCACGGTTGATCCGAAGCCAACGGGTGCCGCATCATGTTGAAGGCATCGCTGCGCGGGTAGCCGCACGTGGCGTTGATGGGGCCCTCTAGCGTCGCGGAGGGAATGGCCTGGGAATACTTGATCATCAGTCTGTCCATACCCCCAACCCTGATATAGCCTATGCGCAGTAAAGAATACAAAAAAGATCTTGAATGAAACACTTCAATTGGAATTGTTTTGTGAAATAAAACATGGCTCTGTGGGGGGGGGGGTAAAGTATGGGCCCTACCTTGAGCGAAGGATAAACTTAAAGAAGTCTTTTGGTGTTCCAGATCTGAACCATTGAAACATTGAACCCAACATTTGGCATTAAAACTTACTGATGACCATGAGAACGATGCCACCGGCGACCATGATGAAAGACTGCAGGGCATCGGTGTAGATGACGGCAGCGAGTCCACCTACGAAAGTGGAGCAACCGGAGTAATGTCGCGAGGTAAGGTGGCGCCAAAATCAAGTCAGGCCAATAGACCGAGATATAATAATCAAGCACATGTTACACCTTGAAACATGCTTCACGATAAGGAAATTGTTTTCCATGCTATGAGCAACATTTATGATTTACTGAATCTTCAGATATCGGTTCAAACTGGTTAGCCATTCGCATTCCCATTGAGTAAAATGTCTCCATAAAGCAAGTTATGCACCGTAATAAGCCTATTTATAAACCAAAGAAGTGCAGGTCCAAGACCAGTCTATCACCTACCCGTAATGGTATAAATCGCAGTCACGACCAGCAGCACGATTATCGCGGTGTAGAGATTCCAGTTGAAGGCTAGTTGTATGAAGATCGCACCGGCAAAGATGTCGACCTTAACGAAGAAAATCCAGATAAAAACTCTCTTTCCACAACAACAAACACCTTACTGAGTACACAAAAGTCTGGATGTTGGATGGAGTCTAACGTTTAATTATACCAAACACCTAGCAAGTATTCCGACAGACATTCGGCGCTGTGAAGACATTTGTTTGATCTTAATAAGCACGAGCCTTCACCTTGTGAAACCGTCTACCTACCGATATTTTGGTGAAGATGTAGAGAAACAGAGAGAACACCGCCATGAGAATGCGCAGGCGCTGTCCCCCGTATCGCTTACGAAGATACTCCGGCATTGTGTACACCTGAATGGAGACGAACGACACGAACATCAAAAACTCTTCACCAAATTCAAGCCGCTCGAGATTTCCCGCCCATTTTCATATCTGCTAAAAGAGCTGTGTATTAAAAAAAAACCCGCTTACCTGAACTTAAGAATTTTATCCCTGAAGCTTAATGAAATTATACGCGGAGTAATGAAACGATACACCCAGTTTCGTTCTTGCCAGCGGTATTTTGCTCCAGTTACCATACGAAACCGTGGTAAATTTATGAATTTACGGCCGCGTTTCTTTGCATGTAAGTCATAAAACGTAATTTGTAAGCAAAAAACAACGGACCTTTTTAAACGTCAGAAAAGTCCGCATATTTCCATAGACTATGCACAATTGAAACGTGTCGTAGAAGGAGATGACGAGGTAGGAACTGACGCGGGGTATTTTTAGACTTTATCTCAGACTGATGGAGTCATCCCAACAGCAATACTGCAAAGCGTGAGGATTTCATTGCCAACAGATGGCCTAAAGTGCAACGACGAAAGAAGGCCCTTCACTACGCTTGTAAGCTCTCGCTGTTGACAAGATTTTTACGGGGTAGCTTTCCAACCCAAACGACGCATGAAAAGGCCCTTGTTTCAAGTTCAGCCGTGCTTATTTCTCTATGCGTCGGACGCGTGGCAAAGAAATGAAAAATTGTCAATGTCCAACATCCAGTCAGCTCCCCCTCTCCCCCAACTTCAGCGTGAAGCCCCCCCCCCCGCTCACTCCCCCGTGCTCAGAATCCTGGCTACGCCGCTACTCTGCATAATGACTATAATCTGGTAACACTTTGCCCAGTATGCAGAGTTAACTTACCCCAGACGATAAGTAGACGGGCACAAACACCCAGCCAAGAAGGATGAGACACCAGACAGCCTGAAGAAAAGAAATATGGAGACGGTCGTGGTTATCCGATCGATGGCATGCATGCAACTAAAGGTGTTTACATGACAACAAAGATTGAAATGAACCATGCCCTCTGTCTGAGGTCAAATTGAAGCCTGCAATTCAACTTCCACACCTTGACAAATCCATAAACAGCACCGGTCATCCGGTAATTCTTACAAAGCTTCGAATTCAACTTTTTATGCATTACTGAGATTCACTTGGCCACGACGAATAACGATAGTATCCGCAGACATAATTATTGTCCGAAATGAAGGAGCCAACATCTTTGTTGTGGAAGACCATCTCTGTACATGTATATAGGAGCTCGGAGAGATTTTAAAAGGTGAAACATTTGAAATGAAAATCATCTGCCTCATTAAGAACAACGCAGCCTACAAACTGACCATGGTTTCATACAGGCCGACAGCAAGTCCCGAGGCAGCACCCGTGCCGGCTAAACCAATGAAATGTCCCGTGCCGATGTTACTAGCAAACAGGGACGCACCGACCTAAATTAGCCACAAAAAGACGAAAACAATCAAAACACACGGTTTCGGCCAGTGGGCCAATCAAGTGATATAAATGGACTATGAGTAAAAGTGTAGGGCCCTTCAGAGAGCCAAGAGTTCAAAGTTCCTGAAATTTATCCCCCTCCCCCCAAAAACTTTCCCTTATCCATACTGGCCCACATTTTGGCCCATACAGCTGGTCAGCTGGGCAGTGCTGTTGCCATGGCTACTGTCCTCTCACTGGCTTAGGCACACAGCAAATCACAATAAGTTCTCGACGCTGTGCTGGTCACAAACCATTCTTGAATGAGCAGCACAACGACATGTACATGTACATAGTCACAATAAACCTTTCTAAACAGCTCTGCCACATATAAATTCTGCATCTGTATTCTCATCCACTTTACAGGTACGTTCCACATTTCACTTACCACATTTTAGATTTTATTGTATTGATTCATGACATTGCTGATTCTCCACAAAAGCCCGCTGTTTGGTTCGCGGGAACGGCAAGTTATAAGATTGTCACTTAAGTATAGAATTAGAAGGAACTGTTGATGGGAGTTTGCTAAGTAGTCAGAAGGAAAGTCAGAAGCAGAAGACATATGACAGAGAAAAAACTTGCCTTAGAATAACTGATGATGAGGTAATGATCCCCTCTTCAGGGTCAAAACACATGAAGAGCTTTGATGGCTGTGTCATGTTGACCGTGACTATATTTTATCTGTAATAGTTCTATTGTATACCAGTATTTTATTATAATCATAATTTTTCTCCGTGCTTAGTTTCACTTCATCTACACGTACCTTTAGAGATCTTTGAAAACTTTTGGCAGTAGCAATTATTTTACTCAAGGCTGTATTGCCTTGTACATTAGGCTAAAAGACATTTCACTCCTTACAGACTGGGCCATTAGACTTGTGCTGGATAGCCGAGCCAGTTGAGATCCTGTGTCGATGGTTTACAGTGCGTTAACTTAAGGGTCACGTATTGCAGACGAGAGAACTGTAACAAGTTTACCACTTGTGGTCTACCTCACCAGGAGGGCCCATGGAATGCGGGCATGATGACGTAGGTCAAAACCCTAGGGGTGCACTGAACCAATTCAAGCTCCATTGAAAATAGTGTAAAATCAACCAAGTTTGGAGCCCCACGGCA